CTCTGCTCACTTTTTTGTTTTGTAACATATGTTTGCTTTATGCAATTAAGTTTGCACTCTGAACCTGTAACACCCGTCTCTGTGATAGTACTTTCAAAAGTGACTCCTGAACCGAGGGCTTTCTGTAGTGCAGCCTTAGCTTCACAAAAGGAAGCTTTCCTTGTGACCTGCTGGTTATTATTTCTTATTCCGCTTGGCCAGGTATAGAAATTAGGTTCCTTATTTTTAGGTATGTGCTTCATATATTTATGTGTGGCACAAACATGGTATCTCTGAAGAATAAAGAAACTCAACATTTGTACTCAAACAGATGATGGTGACATCCCAACTAATGGACAATTGAACCAGTAGTCCAAAGTTTATGCAGGCATTTACTTAGTAAGTGCCTTCTAAGGCCCTTTCTGAATCTGCAATTTATTCACATGCCCATGTTTAGAAAAAAAATGAAGTTTATGCCTGCATACTGTGCTGAAGTAGGTGACTTGAGTAGTGGAATACGATTCTGTGCAGGATGCAGTTTGCATTATTTTCTGCTCTCATCTAGAAAGTGTCTGTCACTGTCTAAGAAAATTGACTTGTTTGTAGAAGAAGGGATTAAAGTTTTAAAACAGAAAGCATAAACAAAAATGAGATTGAAAAGGTGACATCTTTATGTCTGCAGTCACTGTCCCCTTCATCCCAGTGTCTAGCATAATAACTTTCCAGGCTGTTCAGGTGGATTTTAAGAAAGTCTGTGACTTTCTGGTAAAGTTCTTCCCTCCTGTCCTGTTTTTTTTTCTGCAAGAAAAAGCAGCAGCAGGAAGAGAAGGATGCTTGGTAGCATTAGAACACTGAAGAAATTATATAAACCTATCTCAGTAATATAAAAACTCAAGAAGTAATAAACCTTAGAGGGTTCTTTGGCCTCATAAAAAAGTACCAAAAGTTTCAATAGCACATTATTAATGTCAGTCTTTCCAGAAAGAAAACAGCTTTTTATACAGCTTTCCATATATGAACAGCCAAGAGTGACTACATTTAAAAAGGAAGAATTCATGAAGCCCTGTATAAATGTTGGGTAGGCAGGATAACATATTTTGTTGCTGCTGCTGCTGTGGCTGGAGGTGTGCCAGCAGTAAAATTTATGAAGACTGAAGGTCTTTTTCTTACTGATAGAAGCTGTCCTGTCTCACAGAGCTGTCTGAAGCTCTGTGGTGATGCAGTGGTCAGGAAGCTGAGGGAGAACAGCACAGAAAACTATGCTGGCTTTCACCTACCAGCACACTCCTCAGGGTGTATTAGTGGTTGTGTGATCATTTTTCTTCTTTCTTTCTTTTCTTAGTAGAAAGAGTTAGAAAGAGCTGAGGAAAGTACTATGAAATTATGTATTGACTTATGTATTGAGGAATAAGAAGTAGTGAGAGCAGTAGAGGTAAGGACACTGATAAGGTAAGATAAGGAAGCTGTGGATGCCCCCTCCCTGGAAGTGTTCAAGGCCAGGTTGGACAGGGCTTTGGCCAACCTGGTCTGGTGGGAGGTTGGACTGGATGATCTTTAAGGTCCCTTCCAACCCAGACCTTTCTATGATTCTATGATTCTATGATGTTTGGAAGGTTTGTGGGAATGCTTGGAAAACTGATGGCAAAACTGAGCAGAAGACAATTTCCTTTGAACAATTGCCAAGACTTATTTAACCCACTAGAATAAGGCTTCCAAAAGAGGAAGATTCATTTATCTTTCTGCTAGCATGTCCTCAAAGAAGCAGGAATCGGTCCTTTCTGCTCACTTGTGTAGTGACTTTTTGGAAAAGATAGGTCTTCCACTGCCTCTGTCCAAAATACATCTCTGTGATCACTGCTGTATTGCTGGCTATTAAAATTGCCAGCAATGTAAGCACTGTAAGCAATCCAGTAAATTTTTAGCAGAGAAGCCTGTTTTCATCAAATTGCCTGTGGTTGACAGTGAGTAAACGTAATTAAATGTATAATGAAAGAAAAAAATCTTGACTATTTCAAGATTAATAAGAGTTCTGAGACTGCTCTGCTATTGCTGTGATTTAGTCAAATGCATGTCATATGTCTCAAAGTCATTAATGATTCAAGTCCAGTACTGAACTGAAATACTGACAGAATGGAACCAGGGAAAAAAATTCCCATTGACTCCAGTGGACCAAGGGTTAATCAGTATTTTCTCAGAAAGTCTTTTCTACCACCCCAAAGCTAGAATAAGGCAAAAAATTAGGGAGCCTAGGTTTGCTTGTTGCTTTAATGGGCAAAGCAAGCTGCTATATGTATAGGAAGCCTAAAGGATTGAAAATCTGCTGTAAGTTCAAGAGGCCACGTTCTGCAAAGTAACCCCTACTTCCTTTTGGATGCCTCTGCTTCCTTTTTCCCTTGCCATACTTGCAGGGCTCTCATCTTTCACTCCTGTCAAGATTGTTTATTAGTTGGCCAGATTTGCTGTAAAGCAATTCCAGGCACTCTGGGGACCAGATATACTGCTTCAGTGGCGCTTCCAACTCCTTTTTTTTATGGACTTGAAATGGGAATTGAACTCAGGTCTCCCACTTGGCAGCACAAAGCATGACAATTGACTAAACAAAAGGAGCACGCTTTGAAGGTTAAAATAAACACGTACGGGAAGAAGCAACAACTGAGAAGGTTGCTTGTAAGAAAGTCCATGTAAATATGAGTTAATGCCTTGTAACAAAAGTAAAAAGGAGAACTGAAACGAAACAAAATGTTTAGATTGGCATGAGCAAGAACTCTTTAAGACTGCTGACTCAGGATGTGAGATTTCAATGTTCATCTGAGTTTAGGATGGGAAACTATATAATCAATGTATTTTACGTTATTATGTATCACAACATTATAATCATTTTAGTACTATACATTACATATTAGAAGCTCTGTGTTACGTATTAGCCTTCGTGAAGATGTTGCTTCTGTGAAAATAGAAGAATCCCTGGGACAGATTCAGAGCAGGGAACTATCCAACAACATAGCTGTAAATTCATTAAAACTACAATAACCTATTTTATTGTCAGTGAATGTCACTGCTAACCTATTTTCTTGATGGAAGGAACAACATATGCTGTTTGTTCGTGCATTGGCTTTAGTAACACTATTTCTTTCCCTCCACTTGATTTGGCCTATGAAGTCCTGAGAGACGTCTTTTTGCTATCAATTTTGGGGTGATACAGTATTTTCCATGACCATCTGGAGGGTGAAAATTAATTAAAAGTAAAAGCTTAGTTTTCCATTGCAGAGCCAGCTGTTAAACAATAGCAGCAGCCAATATGGTGATGACCCCATTTTTGTTAAGACAGCGTTAATATTTACATGTCAAATACCAAGTACTTTTCAACAGTGTTTTAACAAGAAGAGAACAACACTTCAGTGACTGAAAAACAATTTTGAAAGTAAAAGAGCTCTACTTACTTTCACCTGTGGTCCTGAAATTTTAGTAAAATTGTGAGATAGGGCTGATAGAGCCACTTTATTAAAGCAAGAAGACATGGACTGTATTAGTACAGTTTAGCAGTCACATAAAAAAATCCCCCGCTATACAAAACCCCATGGTTTTCTGAGCTGATTTACTATATAATTTATTCCAATCAATGTGATCAATGGCATGAGATTTCATCCTAAAGCATTAATGAGTTTTGAAACTTAACCATGTTGCCATAGGCCAGTGTTTGACAGTAAGCCCCAGTGATCTTAGTGAGTCCCAGCAGAACATCTTAAAATCTCTAAGATGTTCTGTGTCATTCTGAGCATGGAAGATCAAGGCCATAGCTTCCTTCACATTACTAATTTCAGAGCTTCATCATAATCATGCTACTTCTATTCTACATAAATATTTTATAGCTCTATTTCCTGGATACAGTTTCTGGGTGTCTGGACAAATGAATTAAAGATTGTCCAGTTGAAAAAGTGCAAAAAAATATCCCCATCACTGGAAATAGTACATAGAGCTAGCTGACAGTAGCATCACAGTTCACATGTCTGCAGCAGTGTCCTCTTTAGAAATGTATTTTCATATTGGTAATAATTTTTAGGGTTTTTATAAGTGCTTGATGTTTGTCTGTTGTTCTTTAAAATAGCTGCTGGGGATTGATTTTTCAAGAGATCTGCAGCAGAGGATAACTTTCTCTGCAAGATTACTAAGGCCATGAAGAACAAGATGAGAGCCAATGAATTTTTAGGTACACTGTGCTGTAGGTGTCTATGGAGCTGTAGTGACAAATTAAACTAGAGTTAGATTTTGACTGCTCATTGCCTAGCAGTTTGATGTGAAAGCACCTCCAGTTCTCATATATCTTGTCTTTAGGAAGGAGTTGCACAGTGTGAAGGGAAAAACTAGCTGAAGGTTAGGCCATCCTAGGGCTGCTGCCTTGATGTTTTATCTGCACGGGATTGCAAGGCAATAGGATTGAAACCTGTTTTGCATCTAGGGACTCTACCCCTAAGTGCCTTTTATAAAAGGAGATCTGCAACGCATGGGAAGAAATACCCTTCCTTCAAGCACACCCCTTAAGAAACAGCGTCAAGAGCCGCCTTAGTGCTCCTACAGTTTGTGTTCTCAGAATTCACCCTGCCTTCAGAACGGGCTTTTCTTTAAATTTGCATATGTATTCCCATATGCAAACCGAACAAATTATGCAAAGCACGTTTGAATATGCATGTCCTCAATAACCATCGATGCAAACTGAAATGAGGGCTGACACGGGTTGAATCCGTAAGAACTTTTGTCATGCAGTCTCTCATCACAAGCTTTCCTCGGGCTCTGAAAGGAAGCAGCGGGGAGGTTTTCACCACTGGTAGCTGACTCGCTGTATCAAAGTTCGGTGATGCTCCGACAAAGCCCCGCAGGGAATGTGAAAAAGAAATAATTTTCACAGCTGAAACATCTCTTTGCGTTCATTTAAGCACTCCTTTAAGCAAAGCCTGATAGCTACTGATTGGCACAGCCGGCTATCTGAAGGCAGGTGATCACCCTTATTTAGCAGTTCCACTAGCCACGTGACAAGAAAATGGTGGAGGATCTGTATTCCTAGTAAACTGCTATAAAAAGAGGGATGCTGAAGTGCTGCAGTATAGCGTCTTCATTTATTTCTCAGTAGAAAGGCCTCGTCAAGTCTTTAGAAGGTAAGCATCGCTTTGCTCCGAGAGGCTGGTATGTAGAAGGTTTTCTGATTACGGCGCTATTGTTGCAGTTAGTTTAGACAGAAAGAGGGGATATGTTTGTCAGCAGGATGCGAAGCACCCAGGACCTCGTTACTGAAAACCAGGCAGCTGTATTTTAATTCTGCTGCAGCTCTTTATGGGAGAAGCTTACAGCAGTTCAATGGGTTTTGTTTGTCTGAGCACTGGCACAGTATTTGTAATTTGGAAACAAAACTTCACTGCACCGTCACCTAGTACGTTAGATTATTTTCAGCTTGTTCGCCTGACTCTTGAGGATTTCACTCTGAGTGGGGGGAAGAAAGGAATGAATGTTGGGCATTGTAAGCAGATGACTTGCTTTTAAGACTACTTAATTACTGGCATAGTGGTTGTGATAGCTCTCATTGTAGGCTCCTTAACAGTAGTATTGTTGTCAGATTTTTTGCTAGCAACTGAAGCATATGATTTTTGAATTTTTTGCAATGATGTCTTAAAATGTTGCGGTGAACAGAATATGTAATCTTTGAAGGTTAACTGATCAAGGATGCAGCCGTAATCTCAGTGGGCAGAGGACTGAAAAATTATTGCATATGTTGGTTTGTACAGGCAGTATTTTTGTTGATATCTAATTACAGGAGCTTGATTCTGCTCTATTCAGTTGTTTGCTTTTCTGTTTGATGAAAGAATGAAAATACTCTTCAGTTTCAAGTAGGGTAAGCAAGCAAATGATAGTGATGTACAGGAGGCATTGAATATGTATAGAATAAATATTAGCTACTTAGAGCAACACTGACAGGAAACTTATGCAGGCTTGGTAGATGTATTTAGCCAGCATCAGTCTAAGAGAGGGGCAGACAGAGATGTAATTTCTGGTCTTATCTTCCTCAATACTTCTGGGAATCAGATCTGTGTTGAGAAAGGAAGGATGCATGCAACTCTAGCAACATGGTCAGGAAGCAGGAAGGCAACTGTGTGGGGTTGTGGAAGGGGACACACAACACACATCAATTCTTACCCTGCCAAAATGCTCTTTTTCCAGGGCTGCTGTGTTCCTCACAGTGCTCTCACCTGTCTCTTGTAAAGCTGGGGAGTACTGCAAAATGGCCTTTTTGTTCCCATCTTTGATGAGTCTGACTGTTGTTTGGCCCTGTATAAATCTGGACAACGTTATAGAAATTTGTGTAGTTAGAGACAAGTCTAGCTCTTGCATAAGTTCACTACTTAAACAACTTAGATCCTGCTACGAGCAGTATGTTGTGGTTTTATGGCATCTCTCATACTACGCAGCAGGAACAGGAAAGCAGTGTCATTTAGCAACTCATAATGTATCTGTGGAAAAAGGCAGAGGAAAAAAAAAATCAATCTTTAAGCCATAGTCCTTTTGTTCAAGCAAAATATGCAGCTTCCAAACTTACCAAGAAATAATGTATAGGTGAGGATGGAATTATGTCAGCACCTGTGAATATTGATAAAGCTGTTTTTATCACTGTAGTGTCCTCAGGACTGGAGACACTTCCTGTCAGACCCTGTTCAAATAACCAGGAAAATATGGTGCTACTGCAACAAGAAATGAGACCAAGGCAGAGGGGAGGATGGGAGTGACAGTCTAGCTGCTTAATAGATTTTAGTTTATCTAGTTGTTTTTCATTTGGACATTGAAGCTTGATTTAGCTGTTACGGGGTATTTATAAGCTAGCTCATTCAGATATTTCTAATTAGTTCTTAGCATATCCTGTAGATTGCAGTCTTCTCTGTATTCTTTGCAGCTGTGAAAAATAGGCAGCAGCAGATCAGACTTCCTTATTTCAGGCTGCCAGATGAAAGCTGTGTCCTCCTAGAACAAGAAATCATGGACAGCAAATTCTAAAGAGCTGTAGGATGGACAGCTCGACAGGATACACTATTGTCTGCTTGTTTAAAGCAGTAGAGCATATAGCTAACCTTGCCCTTCTATTTGCCGATCTAATGTGTGAGGAGTGCCATGTAGGGGAAGGAGAAACCCGATTTTCTCATCTTATTAATGAACATTACTTCTGTCTGGCATTTCCTGTCACTCTGGTTCTTTCACAGCATTTTTTTCTATGTCTGACATACACTCTTCCACACTTACATTGGTTATTATCTTCCTACTGCTTCTGTGGCCCTTCCAACTCAGTGACAGAGTTTTGCTCCTGACGATAACTGGTAGCTTACTGCATCTCCTGTCTCCCTTTGTGCCTTTTTAGAGCTGCCTGCTACAGGATCTGAGAGTCTTTTCTGCTCTCAATACCGGTGCAAGCAGGCTGCAGGACTGCCTTATTTGATACCAGTTTCACTGCTTCGGTGGAGCTTATGTGCCTTGATTAGGCATCTCTGGCTCATGGTTGGGCTTTTCCTGTGTTTTTCCGAAGTTGCAAATTGTCAAATATGGATGGGAATATTTCAGTTACCAATTTGTCCCTATTAGTGTATTTCCATTTTAATCTGCTAATTAAAATCCCTACTCCATATTCTGCATTGTTACTTACATTCCCCTGCTATCTGTTACAGCTTTGACAAATGCAGCTTTAAGAGGCTGAAGTTTAACATCACCCTCTTTTTAGAGCTTTTTCTTTAGGTCAGTCATCGTCAAGGCAGGGAAAAGGTAGCTGTGAGGTTTTTGTGGGTTTGCTGCAGTAGATAAGACACGAATCTAAATTAGAATAAAGTTGTACATCATAAGTCATTAAATCATAGTTATCTTAGCATAGAAAAGATAGGAAGCTGGAAATTTGGCTGTACAGTGGCACAGAAGTGAGAAGAGAACAAATTCTGAAGATTTAAGGCATTGAAGGAGTAGAAGTTGTTTGAGAATAAGGAATGAAGTCATAAATAGGACTGGAGAAAAAGCAGCATGAGGGGAGGAAAAGATAAAAGTCATACAGTATAAAAGGATGTTGCCACGTATCTCTTCCTGTCTATCAGCATATTATAAATTGTGCAAAGGCTGAACTTGAAATCAAAGGAGTGCTAGAAAAATCCTAATGCTTTAATGAACGGATCAATAAAAGTGCTACAAATCTTTAGATCTTGATGTTAAGTGAGTTGTTACGGCTCTGCAAATCATCCCTAAGCACATTTTATCATATGAGCAAGACAGAATTCACCTGTTGTTAAGGTTCTTTGTTAAAACATTTGATTCCAGCTGGTATAGTGTGGTAATAAGTATCATCATTGTACATGTCATCATTCATACTACTGCTAAGAGTGGCTATCTGGAAAAATTGAGGCTTACAATATAGATTAGAAGAGGAACAAAGAGCAAGATGACTAAATAAGCAGATACTAAACACTGAAGTTGATTGGAGACTAGGAAGCACCTCCATAAAGAATGGTTACAAAATTTATTCAGTGGTCCAAAGCAAGAATTTCAACATGTTTTCAGTTAACATACTGAAATGCAAACAATTTCAATCTCCAGGCTAGAATACAGGATTTTCCCACAGAGAGTATATTACATCTTCTAGACATGCCAAACTTTTTCATCCCATTTTGATGCTGAAAATGGAGTGAAAAATCAGCACATGCAAAACATCAAGTAACAGTATAATCAGTAGAAGAAGCTTTAAATCTGAAGAGTGAAGTGTGAAAAACTAGGAAGTTATGAACTTTATTAATTTTTGGCTATGGTTTATTCTGTGGCTGTCAAGAAAATAAGTGACTTTTTCTGTAAAATGGGAATATCAGCATGTGTTTATCTACTGTACAGCAATATGAAAATTACTAGTTAACATTTGCACAGATGTTTAAGTAACAAAGCTTTTGGTTCAAACAAACCACCACTGATTTTTTTTGTTTTTTTTGCTTTGTATCCAGAGTTGGTGAAAAAGAGTGTCACACTATGCATAAACTCCAGTGCTTAGTCTATAGATTTTTCCTGAACTACTTTGTGATTAAGAGCCACCAAATAAATAGCGATAGGAACACAGCTAATTTAAGATACTAACATATAGTTGCTAAGTTAAGCTCTTGGGAGGTTATAAAATTAATCCATTTTTACAAGTAATTTGTATACAGTGTGATTATTTTACATAGCTGTGAGTAAACTTAATGACTTTTTTCTAGCCTCAGATATCCTGGAGTGGATTATTTCCCATATGCTCATTTTCTTGTTATGTGGATGCAGTTGAAGCATAGTCTCTGACTGATCTTGACTGAATCCTGCACAGTGTATGTCACTTTGATTGGTTGTATACTCCACCACAGTTTAGGGATCATTAATTCTACTGACCCTGAAGTCTCCTTTATTGCTGACTATGCAACTGGAGAAATTTTTGTTTGTTGTCTGAAAGTTTTGTAGCAAAAGACTAGTTTTAGGAAGTCATTTGGAGGTTGTTTTTAGTGGGTGCATTTGCTAATGGGTTTCTTCATCTCTTCGTGTACAATCCAGTTGGGTTTTTTTGAGACTAATGTTCCTGGCTTTGGGATTTGTTATTAGTCTATTAGCTTTAAAGGTCTATGAAATAACGTGTCTTAGTTCCAACATAATTTATGGAGTTGCATCTATAACCAGAAGAACAATCCTCTCTTTAAAACCAAGGTCAAAATGGCTATTCTGTCTTTTCTGAGTGCCCCAAGAAAGAGTACTGATTTCAGAAAGTAGATACTTGCTGTTATTTTAAGACATACTGTTGTAGCAGGGCTCTGCGAATTTCTCATCTCTAGCTTTTTCTGAGCAGAAATGAAACAGATTACAAACCACAAGCCTGGAGCACACATATATAACATATGAAAGAAAGGGAAAGATGTTGTATTTGGATATAAATGCAAAAAATCAAAACAGTTTCTGTTCTAAAAATGGAATAATGCATCACGTGTTTAAACATAACAGAATGGGTTTAGCTGCTCTTTAGTATGAGGTAAGGTGGATGTTGGAGTAGCTATGGAGATGGATGAAAGCAAAACTCACCTTATAAGTCAGCTATCTGGTGAGGTATTTTGACTTTAAATATAGAACAGAACAG